GATGCTTTCTCATATATCTGAGGATGATGCATGGTCCATTTTCTAACTTCCAAGGTCCCACAATATCTCTTAACAGTGACAACAGCTGGAATCCAAATACATGTGCCAGTAGTGTTCATTCCCATGAAGACATTATCACTCTATATGTAACATCTGTAAGCACATACTTGTTTTCATTTTGTTAGGGCAATGAGACCTATCCAGTCTACTCCCTGGCTTCACTAAAAAAGTCAGGACCTGTTGTTTAAAGGGAAGGTTCTGTGATTGTTCTTGTATGTGGAGGACAACAAGCCAAGAAAGTTGTGCAAATAAAAAGGGAATTTTTAGTTATGGATTCTAAAGGAGAAGGGGAGTCTTTCTGAGAAAAATTGGAGTCTGTCATGAGACAGAAAGGGTAAGACAAAAATATGTGTAGCGGTATTTCATTTGTATTTTACTAAATAAAGCTTCCCTGAAGTTCAGAGAGTAGAGTAGCTGCACTGATTAGCCTTACAGACAAGGCAGTAGTAGCACACACCTTTAATCCCAGTAGACAGACTAGTTTGCCATAGAAACCGGGCAATAGTGGTGCATGCCATTAATCCCAGCACTAGAGAGAAGTATAAAATGGGAGGAGACAGCTCTCAGCTCTCATACAGTCTCATTCTGAGATTCTTGGAGGCAGGGTCACCATTTTGGACTAAGGTAGGGGTAAGAGTCAGTGACTTTTTTTTTTTTTGCTTTTCTGTCCTTCAAGTTTAACCCCACATTCTGTCTCTGGATTTGTTATTACAAATATGGGTGTGGTCTAGAAGTGTACAATTTTAGTCTTTTGTGCAGATTATGGGTCAAGAGCTGTCCTCTGATGCTTGTTACCAGCTCTTAAAGTGAGTAAAGTTAAATTGTTTTGGTCTGAGTGTTTACAAGGGCCCTGCCTTAGTCAGTGTTTTGTTACTCTGTGAAATACCCAAGACAACAACAACTAATAGCAATATATTATTTTGAATTATCATTTAGGACATGGCTTTGGCTCCATTGCTGTGATGGTGTAATGAGGCAGGACACTATGACTGCTGTATGTCAAATAGCTAAATTTCAGCAAAGACCCTGAGCATGAAACTATCAAGACAGAACATAAAAAGGCACAATTACTGTATTATAAAATATTATCCAATATATGCAACGATCCCTAGTAAGATATTACATATTTTCAGAATAGCAACAGCATTATATTTAGTGCTTAACTATGCTAGTCAGTGTTAGCAAGAGGCACATGGGAGGCTGTCAGATGGGACACCTCTCCTCATTGGGTCTACAGAAACAAAACAGAACAAATACAAACAAACAAACCCAGAACAAGTAACTTGTCCAAGGTGGTGTAAAAACTCAACTCAAATCTTTAGTTGCCCTAATAATGGAAGTAGAATAGTGTACCTGAGGATTCTAGGAAATGAAACATGAACTCACCGTGCTTTGTCAAGTTACTTTGTCATGATGGGGAGAAGAACAAAACAAGCACTTAAAATTGAAAGCATGCTAGGCCTTTATTTATTTATTTATTTTTAAAAAATGACAGTGACTTTTCTCATTTTGCATACCAATTCCCATTTCCACTCCCACCTTTCCTCCTGCTCTGTCCACATTCTTCCTCATCCCAACCCCCCATCTAGTCCTCAGAGAGAGTAAGGCTTCCCCTGGGGAGTCAAAAAAATTCTAGAACATTGCTTTGAGACAGAATCAAGGTCCTTCCCACTATATCTAGACTTAGCGAGATATTCCTCCAAAGAGAAGGGTTCAAAAATTTCAATACAAGCAGTAGCGATAAATCCTGGTCTCACTACCAGTTGCCCCACAGTCTGCCCCAGCTATACAGCTGCCACCTGCTTTCAGGGGGCCTAGTTTGGTCCTATGCTGGTTCCTTTACTATCAGGCCAGAGTTGTTGGGCTTCCATAAGCTCTCAGGTCAGCTGTTTCAGAGGGTATCTCCTTCATGAGAAAGGGAGGGTGGAGGAGAACTTGAGGGAACAGATGGTCGAGATGAGGGAAAAACATAGATGAAGAATGAGAGGAAAAAGATTTTCATTGAGGAAGCTGTTATGGGGCTAGCAAGAAAACTGGCACTAGAGAACTTTCCAGAAATTCACAAAGATGACCTAAGTTAAGACCCTAAGAAATACACGAGAGGTTGCCCGACCTGGCCTTGCCATGTAGTCAGATTGATGAATATCTTAAATATTACCATAGACCCTTCATCCTACAACTGATGGAAGCTGAGGCAGAGATCCACAACAGAGCACTGGACTGAGTTCCCAAAGTCCAGTTGAAGAGTAGGAGAATTGAAATAATGTGCAAAGAGGCAGCCTAGGCTTTTTGAGAGGATCTTGTTGAGAATAGGAGGGAGCCCCTTAATATGTTTAATAGGCTAATGACAGTTGGGGTTGCTAGGAGCACACTTGTACTTGGGAAGGCCACATTTCTGTCTTCTGTGTCCTATGATAATGTTGCTGGTAACATATGCTAATTTACACTGGGGATCTCACCACCAAGGGCAATGGTGAAGCCAGACCTTCTTCCCATCCTCCGGTGGTAAGTATGGAGCTGACAGATGGGAGTCTGGACTTGCCTTTGTTCCTGGCTCCTTTCCAAGGCTCACTGTGGACAATATATCATCCTAATTGTTCTTTTGCTTTGACATTCTTGTAAAGCTCTTCGCTCCCTTATATCAGTTCATTCCGTAAAACAAGGCAAAGAATTGAATTTCTTTCATAAAATAAGTATGTTGTCTGTAAGATGAACTGAGGACAGCTAACATTGACAAAGTTCTTTTGATTTCTCCCTCATCTTCAAGTCTTTAATTCTCCTGCAACAGAGGAAGCTTCGTGTGCCCTGGATATACTGACTCTTGTCATGTACCTCTGGTCTTAGCTCAAGCTGATCTCTTTATCCTTCTTTATTTTGTCCATCAGCTAGTACCAACCTGGAAAATATGACCTTCTTCTTTAAAATCCTTCAGCGATTTCCCAGCACTATGCTATTCTGTCATTGGGGTCTGGTGCCTATATCTTGTCTCATAGTGATGAACATCGATTATTGTACGCATATGTTCCCCTGATTATTTACCATTCAAATTACATTCCCCCAGGGACAAGGATTACATATTCCTCATCTTTATATTTCTAGTACATTAGTAAGATGTCTAGCTTAGAAGTTCCAAAAATAGAAACATTGATAATAATATAAACGTCAAGCATTTATTCAATTTTCACAACAAGATAGGTTTACTTTAAATATTTATTTGCATTAACTTTTATCCTCACAACCTTAAGGAATGAGTGATGTTTTACCAGTGCGGAGAAGAAACTGGGCCACAGAAAATATGAATATCTTGCCCAGTGTTGTAACTAACCTTGTCCAGTTTTAGAACGTTGTGAACCTCTCACTCCCTCCCTTCTTTCTTTCTCAAAGGTTCAGAGAAGCAACATGGTAACAAGAGAGATTTGGATGTATTATACACAGACACTTTGGCACATGATCAGCCAGTTAAATTGATAAATTATGCTTAGAAGTTACCGCTGGAAATAATGCAGAAAATTACTTATTTCCCTCATTGTACAAAATCCATATCAATAAAGACACAAGTCATTATCCCATTAACACCTATTTTTTTCTGTAAATAACACTTGAAATTTATAAATGTGACTTAGCAGGTGACCCATCTACTTCAGACATCCGACTATATTATACTGAGTAACTGAGTTACATATATAAATCTCTACGGAAGCTCATGCTCAGATAAATTAATTGTGAAACATATTACCTGCTAACTTTTGCTCTATACTACCATGTTCATAAGATGTTTCTACTGTGGGACCAATCTAATGAGCTCTGAGTCTTGGTTTTGCACTTTAACCATATGGCTTCTTGTATGCTTCTTCTCTTACGATTCTTACTCTTCAAAAGGGAGAGAATAGTGTCCAAGTCAGAGGAGTGTCTTAAACACTGAGAAGATACTAGGGACTGACGTACATGAACTATGCACAGTTGTAAAGCAGATGACAGTTAGACATTTCTGGTTAAAGATCAGTTGTCATCAATTAAAAATTCTTAATAATTTTTAACAAGGTATCACACATTTACTTTTTGCCAGATGCCAGAAACTAGTCATTCCTGGATAACTTTATTTATGAATTCTATAGCTTGCTACGGAGGAAGGATTTAATAGATAGGCTCCTTCTTAGTGATTTTTTTTGTTTTGTTTTGTTTTTTATTTTTCGAGACAGGGTTTCTCTGTGGTTTCGGAGCCTGTCCTGGAACTAGCTCTTGTAGACCAGGCTGGTCTCGAACTCACAAAGATCCGCCTGCCTCTGCCTCCCGAGTGCTGGGATTAAAGGCGTGCGCCACCACCGCCCGGCCTTCTTAGTGATTTTGCATGGGAAGTTTTAGTTGACTGGGTTTAGTGACTGAATGTTATTTTCTGTACATTTCTCATCTGAGATGGACACTGAAGAAGAGGATGAAATTCATGACATACACCTCTATGCATTGGCTTCTATACGGTTGGCAGTTGTTAAACACTATGTTGGGACGCTCCATCTCAATATTCCATTTCTTTTTGATTAATCATCTGATTGTATACAAATGGTGACTGAATGGTAATTTGGACTACAGAAATAATTCTCTGTGGATATTGGCAACATACCCCACCAAAAGTTATTAAATTTGTTTGCCACAAAAGCTATTAAATTAATTAAATAAAAGTTAATGCAGATAAAGAACTTAAAATATTACCTAGCACACTGTGAAAACTTTAAGCATTGTTATTATCATGACTGTTTCTACTTTTGGTGATTCTCAGACAGACATCTTGCTTAGTACTGGGAATATAAAGATGAGGAATGCAATTAGTTAAGTTTAATGTTAATTTTACCAATATTGGCCTTAGCTCATACAAATATGTTACTAGTAGTACTCTAGGAAGATATTTGAAGAAGTAATACTTTTTTGTTTGTCTTGTTTTTCAGACTGTTTGAACTCCAGAAGGACCAACACCAGATAAATTATGAATGTTGAACAAGATGACCTTACATCCACAGCAGATAATGATAGGTCCTAGGTTTAACAGGGCCCTATTTGACCCCCTGCTTGTGGTGCTGTTGGCTCTTCAACTTCTTGTGGTGGCTGGTCTGGTCCGAGCTCAAACCTGCCCTTCAGTGTGCTCCTGCAGCAACCAGTTCAGCAAGGTGATTTGTGTTCGCAAGAACCTTCGTGAGGTTCCTGATGGCATCTCCACCAACACAAGGCTGTTGAACCTCCATGAGAACCAAATCCAGATCATCAAAGTGAACAGCTTCAAGCACTTAAGGCACCTGGAAATCCTCCAGTTGAGCAGGAATCATATTCGAACCATTGAAATTGGGGCCTTCAATGGTTTGGCTAACCTCAACACTCTGGAACTCTTTGACAATCGTCTCACTACCATCCCAAATGGAGCTTTTGTGTATCTGTCTAAACTGAAGGAGCTCTGGTTGCGCAACAACCCCATTGAAAGCATCCCTTCCTATGCTTTTAACAGAATCCCTTCTTTGCGCCGCCTAGACTTGGGGGAATTAAAAAGGCTTTCTTACATCTCCGAAGGTGCCTTTGAAGGTCTGTCCAACTTGAGGTATTTGAACCTTGCCATGTGCAACCTCCGTGAAATCCCTAACCTCACACCGCTCATCAAACTAGACGAACTAGATCTTTCTGGGAACCATTTGTCTGCAATCAGACCTGGCTCTTTTCAGGGCTTGATGCACCTTCAAAAACTGTGGATGATACAGTCTCAGATTCAAGTGATTGAACGCAATGCCTTTGATAACCTCCAGTCATTAGTGGAGATCAACCTGGCACACAACAATCTAACATTATTGCCTCATGACCTCTTCACGCCCTTGCATCATCTAGAGAGGATACACCTTCATCACAACCCATGGAATTGTAACTGTGATATCCTGTGGCTTAGCTGGTGGATACGAGACATGGCTCCCTCGAACACAGCTTGTTGTGCCAGGTGTAACACTCCCCCCAATCTGAAAGGGAGATATATCGGAGAGCTGGACCAGAATTATTTCACATGCTATGCTCCGGTGATTGTGGAACCCCCCGCAGACCTCAATGTCACTGAAGGCATGGCAGCTGAGCTAAAATGTCGAGCGTCTACATCCCTGACTTCCGTGTCTTGGATTACTCCAAATGGAACAGTCATGACCCATGGGGCATACAAAGTGAGGATAGCTGTGCTTAGTGATGGCACGTTAAATTTCACAAATGTAACTGTGCAAGACACAGGCATGTACACATGTATGGTGAGTAATTCTGTCGGCAACACTACTGCTTCTGCCACCTTGAATGTGACTGCGGCAACCACTACTCCTTTCTCTTACTTTTCCACTGTAACAGTAGAGACTATGGAACCTTCTCAGGATGAGGCACGAACCACAGATAACAATGTGGGTCCAACTCCAGTGATCGATTGGGAGACTACTAACGCAACCACATCTCTTACGCCACAGAGCACAAGGTCCACAGAGAAAACATTCACCATCCCAGTGACTGACATCAACAGTGGAATCCCAGGAATTGATGAGGTCATGAAAACAACCAAAATCATTATTGGTTGTTTTGTGGCCATCACACTCATGGCTGCTGTGATGCTGGTCATCTTCTACAAGATGAGGAAGCAGCACCATCGGCAAAACCACCATGCTCCAACAAGGACTGTTGAAATCATTAACGTGGATGATGAGCTCACTGGGGATACACCTATGGAAAGTCACCTGCCCATGCCTGCAATTGAGCATGAGCATCTAAACCACTATAACTCTTACAAATCTCCCTTCAACCACACAACAACAGTAAACACAATAAATTCAATACACAGTTCAGTGCATGAACCGTTATTGATCCGAATGAACTCTAAAGACAATGTACAAGAGACTCAAATATAAAACATTTACAGTTACAGAAAACAAACAATCAAAAAAGACAGTTTATTAAAAAAATGACACAAATGACTGGGCTAAATCTACTGTTTCAAAAAAGTGTCTTTACAAAAAAACAAAAAAGAAAAGAAATTTATTTATTAAAAATTCTATTGTGATCTAAAGCAGACAAAATGATGTGTATTCCTCAGAACCTGTTTCTGCTGCACTTACTATTTTCCCACACCTCCTCCCTCCCTTCCCTGATTGCCATATTTTTCATAGATCTCAATTCTCTAAAGAACTGGTCTAGGAAATTTTGTAAGAATTCTGTTACACTTTGAGATTTTTATGGTGAATTCTAGTGGTGAGATCCAGTCTATTTTGTCTCTTTTTCGCTCTATTTTTTTTTCATTTTTTTCCTTTTTCCTTCATGCCCTTCTGAAGTAGTCCAATGGGGAATGCAATATTAGAAATAGATTTTTAAGAAAGAATGAGGAAAATGCAAGATCTTATATTTTTCATGCATTGATCTATTCTGTATTTATGAGGAGGACATTCTGTGGAGAAAGAAAAAAAGTAAGCAAATAACAGATTAATTTACATATGAACATCTATAAAACCCATGACTTTAAAAAAAAAAACTCTAGAACCAGAATTTGTAGTTCAAAACTTAAAATAAGATTATAAATAAAATATTGTTGGTTTTTCTGTACCTGGACATAGCTCATTTGTAGCCTGGTTCAAATATGAGAAACCTGAAGGTAATTAGATTCCTTATTTCTAAGAAACACTTTAGCCAAAGCATCATTTTCTACATGTCTCTGCTGTTTTATTCAACTTAAGTTGCCTATCAGTATTCAAGGATGCTATGATACAACCAGATTCTTTCCTTCTCAAAAAGGTGCCCCTTGCAAAATTTTCAGGTGAAAAGATATAAGTTTATCAACAAAATGTGTTTCAAGTAGGGAGAATAAACAACCATATTTGTATTTTTCTAATCAGAATCCCACAGACAAGGTGAAATATTGCCACAAAAGTGGAGCCATGCTAATGTTCCTATAGTTAAAAAATAATTTTGGGTTCTGAGTGTTAGCAAATTTAGTTCAATTCAATGAAGACTATCAAATAATTAAAATGGACTATATGGTCACTTGGGTAATATGGGTACAAAAATAACAAGGCTTGGTTCCTGCCCTTGTATCATTCCCAAGGATTATTCTCAGTGTATTCCTAGGCACCAGCGCTAACTTTTGATATTTGGGAAGAAGATGGTGTCCTGGGATCACAAACTCATAAAATACCCAATTATTATTATTACAGAAGCTTCCTGGTTTCTTGGTTTCTGACATTTTTATGGTAGAGATAACTTTTGCCTCTAGAATGCAGATTTCCAGGGTTAAAAGGTATGAAAATGGCATCTTCAGTATTCAAGAAACATGGGTCCATACAAGGAGATGAGAAGAGTGTTGCAATGATAATTTACTAAGACTTCCTTTAAAGGAGCTGTGGAAATTTTAGTTCAGAGGACATATCGACTTTCAAAAAGAGAAAAAGAGAGAGGGAGAGAGAGAGAGAGAGAGAGAGAGAGGGAGAGAGGGAAGGAGAGAGAGAGAGAGAGAGAGAGAGAAACCCACTGACTGTGATTGTTAGCATGCTCCTGATATTTCAAAATTCTATGTATATGACCTTTATCTTTATCTCTGCAGAGCAATATACAGACAGACAGGCAGACAGGCAGGCACGCACCCATACCCACACATAGACATACGTACAAACACACATGTGCGCACACACACACACTCACACACCTTTTTATTACTGGCCTTGACACCTGTCCTCTCTACCAAAGTGAGAAGACAAGGATTGACTAAACAGAAGAAAACATATCTCCTAATGGAAGTACAGCTTGAAGACTCACATTTAATTCTACAGTCTAGACCGCACGCCAGGTTTTGTGATCTTCAGGTGTGAAAAACCAATCTTTTCTTGCAATGTAGGTTAGAAAAATGGAGGAAGCAGTAACAAATAAATGCAAGTACACAACAGCCTTTCTTCTATTCTGCAATCCCATCCTCTTTGGCTTTTTCTCCTGTACCCCCTGCTTCCCTTTAGTGCAAACAGTATGTACATGCTTTTACTGTTCAGTAGACACAGGAAAAGAGAAAGTGTGCAGTGACAGTCATTTGTTGATTTACTGTGTATTGAATATACTTAATGTCTTATTTTCCAACAGTGGGTAAATTTGGTATTTTATGTGGAGTACATCCATACAGACAGAGATGCATACTCACACACATACATACACTTCTGACTGTCAAACTGTATCTGGTATGAAGAAAAGTGTTACAAGTGAGTAGGGAAATGGGTCTTGCCATCTCTACATGACAACTATTTCTGGTTTATGCTTACAATCTTCTGTCTACTTACACTCTTTCCTCTTTAGCTTATGATTATTATAAGGTTAGACCTAAAATGTTCTGACAATTAACTGTGTAGGGTGGCCAAATAGTTAGGCATATTATACTAAACACGATGAAATTCAAGCTTGCACTAAAAATAAACAAGCAAAAATTAAGAATAAAATATAAACTATGTGATATAGCAGCTGGAATATTATAACAGCTGAGAATAACACATTTCAGAAATAAAATATATTGCTGGAAGATTTAAGTTAATCAAATTAAGTTATATAGAAATATCAAACTTTTTTCACATCCTCATCGCATCTATTGGGATTAAAAGTGAAATGTTAAGCATATATATATATATATATATATATATATATATATATATATATATGGAAACTGCAGCTGAGTCAAAACCTTATCTGGCTAATTATACGCATATTTGCTCATGAGTTTGCTAATGGTTTGGTTTTCTAGAGACATATTCTGCATGACTTGAGGAGGAAAATCCTATATGATCATTTCCTTATCCTTTCAGACAAACAAATTCCATGTCTACCCATTTTTTCATCCTATGTAAAAACACCTAAGTGAGTGGCAGAGTCTGAAAACACATGCAAACCCACACAGACCCACACACAAAGTATTGCACTTAGTAAAAACTAAGCTAAGGAAACCTGGCAAAAGTGTGTGTGTGTGTGTGTGTGTGTGTGTGTATGTTTGTGTGTTGTGGGCACATCATTCATAGCCTTTTTTGTAAAGAAGATTATTTAACTTTTTTTTTTACCTATTTGGAATTCAAATCTTCATACAGACAATGTCCAGTTTCTCAGATTCGTCACCACTTGTATAGATGGGCATGCCTTGGTAAAATGTTGGAAGAATTTGGATATCACAGACACGAAGGCACATAATTCTCTCTCATGTCTAAAATGTTCTGGAATAAATTATTCTAATTTTTACTGCTTGATATAGGTCAATGGGACAGGGAAGCATTATGAGTAATTTTTAAGAAAGAAAAAGGTTTTGCTAATCTATGATAATTTTCAGCCTTATGATTCAAGACTCCAATATCTGGATGGTAGTTAAACTCTGTAGGCTATTCTATTCTGGGTAAACATATAACAGGAAAGGACAAAATAAGGTTCCTACCTTAGTCACTGGGAAGACATAAAGCATTTTGATAACATGAATTAATGAAACAAGGGAGGCACATGAGACGGTAGCTTTAGAATGCACGACTTTTCCAGAGCATATATTAACCACAGTAGAAAAAAAAATACCATTCTATCTTCTTTGAGCATAATCCTCATGGTATTTAGATATACGGAAATATTAGATGAATGTCTGCAAACACGGCACTCTATAGCAATGCAGTTTTCAAACAATGCATTCAGTTACTGGTTGCTTCACTCCACATGTTTCAACAAAGAACTTGAAGTTAATCCTCCAATTCAATATCAATGACAGCAAACGAATACTTAGGACATGAATCATATTCTTCTGGGAAGCTAATTGTTTCTTTTAAAATACAGTACCGCAGAGTCCAATCTCTTAAAAAAAGAAATCTTCTCCTCACACCATATCCATTTCATTACTTTATTAGAATATGATTTCTGCAGAACAGCTACTCTTGCCAAAAAATAGTCTAAAAGGTTGCTTTTGAACACTGAAGTATCTTCTATTTCTACTATTTTAATAAGGTAAAACTGAGATTGCTTCAAGCTCTCTGGAGGATAGGAAGCCATTGTGACACTATTGTTTTCTTATATTCTACCAAGATAACGAATGAGCTACATCTTGCAGTAGGAGAGACAAAAGAAATTTTCTAAAATTAATGTAGCACACTTGTCAATCAGGGTCCTAAATATAGATAATGAATGTGGCATTCTCACAACATATGCCAGTTCATATCATAGTATTTCTTAAGTGAAACTGTGGGGAATTCTGAAACTTCAACTTTTCTTAGCATTGAGACTATATATAAACTATATTTAAAATAATGTAGCTAAATTTTACAATAATTATTTGGCAGTAGTAAATAGCACATCTGTTCGTTTTTCTTTTGCTTTAAGTAAATAAAAATGAAGAGAGCTCTTTTGCTGCCAAAAAGACAATAGGTGATGTTATTTTGATGAAAGTTCATTGTATTCGTAAAAATAACTCATCAGCAAAATTTATTATCTGTATTAAATAAGCCTATCCATATGTCCCCTGTACAAAATAGCGTAGATAAAAAAACTTTGGAAGTTGAGATGTAAAATCTTCTTTATTTGATATTTGCTCTAATAATTTAATTTCTATCGATTATTAATATTTTATTTATAAACAATGGTAGGGAATTCAGATTTTTACCCTTGCAAATACTATCAGTTTGGGCTTTATTTGTTTGCTCCGTGTAATTATGTTTATTTTCTTTGTTCTTGGAAGAAGAATGTCCATTATTTTTTTTATGAGAAGCTGACCTCAGTTGAGAAAGTGAAGCTCATTTTGATGTATGATCTTTAACACTAAGAACCTCCTAAAACATCCACTTAATCCAACCTTAGCTTGGCTATCATGATGGAAGCCTATGTAAACATTAACTTGTGGATATACAAAAGAGAATTTAGAGTGAAAATTAGTAAATCTCCTTAATGATCTAGCCTTTGATTACCCATTAAATGAAACCACAACATCATGGAATCTAGTACGTTTTTCAGGTAAATCTGAAAAACTTTGTATAGTATGAGAAATAAAAAAAAAAGGACTGCAGCAACAACAAAAATCACAAGAAAGAAAAAAAGAAGAGAAATATAGATGACACTAAAATCTCACTCACTGTATTAAAGTACTCACAATGTAACCATTATATACTTTATGGAATAGACTTTTTACGTTCATCTCCATAAAAATTTAAAACAAATAATTTTTAATACTGGGGGAATATAGGTTTCTTTGGTAATGGAATCATTATGAAAAATTTATCTTAATGAAACTTGAAGAAAACCTTCAAGGCTAATTTTGAAAACTACACTCAGGCACTATTGCTATTTCTGGTTTTAAAATTTGAGCTTTACAAAAGGAGAGAGAAGGGGTAATAAAATTTCACTTTCCATAAGTCCTCAAGGCAGATAAAACAAGCTTAAAAAATTTCTCAGTTTCAGGTGGACTCTTCCAGAATGAACTTTGGTTAATTTGACACTAAACACATCGAGTCACTATGCATTTGTTTTTGAAAAAGTCACTAGTTTTGCAAGCAAACCCCGCTAAACAAGGTAATGGCAACATTTATATATTCCATTGTTTCTTTGATTTGAATTCATATTCTTTCCAGTGGGAAAATACATTTCATCCACGGTGTTGGTTTTTCATCAGAATTTCTCATTTTCCAAGAACAGTATCAAGTCAGAACCTGTCTTTGTTGCTCAACATTTACTTGCATAGTCTCTGGTTCATAGCTAGATAAGAGAGTAAATTATTTGACAGGGTGAGGGTGGGTTTCTGCTTGGTACAGAGAATGATGAAATAGCTGTGCTTTTGGTTTCAGTTGTGTGAATTTACTAATACAAGGACAACAAAAATAAAAGAATAAGTAGGCAGTAAAAGACAGACAGATCAGCAGACAGGTAACGTCAGTACATCAAACCAACGACTAAAATTCTCAGAAAGTACTGAGCTCCCATTCCAGAGAGCCCCAGGAATAACAAAAAAGAGTGTGCAGTTTCCTCTGGTGAAATTTTCAGGTTAAATAATAATAATAAAATAACTACACAAAGGAAACTTCAGCACTTGGGAGGTAGAGGGCAGGCAGATCTCTGTGAGTACAAGGCCAGCCTGGTCTACAAAGAGAGTTCCAGAACAGCTAGGGCTGTTAAACAGAGAAACCAAAACCCTGTCTTGAAAAAACAAAGCAAAACAAAACAAACGAACAAACAAAAAATAAACAAAAAAGAAAAAGAAAGAAAGGGGAAAAAAAAGAAACTTCAAAGGATCAGTGAGGCAGAACAAACAGCAAGAATTTCTGATTGACAGGATCCTCTCAAATCTTT